TGTCTGGGAGACCCGTGAGCCTGTTGGGGAAAGGGCTGCTGTTCTGAGTCGACAGTGTCCATACGACACCAGGTGCTGACTGCTCCCTCCTGTGACAAGCCACATTGCTCTCCTGCCACTTGGGTGGCAGGTTGAGGCACCATGTAAAATAGTGGGAATTCTGCTCTGTGACAAAGAAAATTAGGAAACGCCAAGCCCCCGAGAGATGCCTGGTACAGTGCCTGACACACATAGTAGGAGCCTAGAAGCCACCCTTTTGAATGGCTGAAGATCCATCAGTCACACAGTAATGAGGGCACGGTCATCACTGTGATTTCTTTCATTAACATGGTAACCTTGCCCTTGGTGTGCTTTTGTGTCTGTTTTTCTGTATGCTGCATTGTTTCCATCTGAGCCCTCTTCTGCCTTAAACATAAACGAATCTGTTCTTCTTTCAGCCTGTCCTTCCTGGTTAATGCCCATCTAGTGTACAGTGGAGGTTGGTGCCCACCTTTCTTGGTTCTTCTCAGTTCAGTAGAAGGAACTAGGGGGCAGGTCAGCTTAGAGCAGGGGAGCACTTCTGTGGACAGGAAAGGCTGTCATGGGGAAGAAGGACATGTCCTTGCTCTGCTTGCCTCTTGGGTTATAACCAGGGAGCTACAGGGGGATAGACGTCAGCTCACTCTAAGGGAAGACCTTTCTTCCCCCACTGGCCACTGGTTTTTAATAGGACAGGAATGATGCAATCCATCCAGATGATTGCAGAAGTATGTAAATAAAATATGCACCCTCCGTTCTTCCCCACTTCTTCTTCCACTCCCTGTAGGTTACTGCTTTGAAATTTCTCTTCATTCATTCAGAAAATATTTTCTGAGAGCCTGTTGTGTGCAGGGCTCTGAACCAGTTGCTGGGGATACAGCGGTGAACAAGACAGTCTAAGACCCTGTCCTCGTGGGGCATATATTCTAGTGAGAGATGGACAAATAAATATGAAATATAATGTGGTGAGTGTAGGAAGAAGAGTGAAGCAGGGCAAGGGGCTGGAGCGCTCTGGGGTGGCAGGGAGGCCTTTCCATGCCATGACTTTGTGCAGAGAGAGGTGTGAGTGAAGTGAGGCCGTGAACCATGCTTGGGACAAAGGCTCTCTTCCCTTCCCTCTCTCTTTTTCACTCTTTCCTTTTCCTCCCAGGAATAGGACCATGCTATACATACTGTTCTGCAACTTGGCTTCTCAATTTACAGTATAATGTAGACTTCTCTCCCTGATAGTGTGTAAAAACCCACCTTGGTTCTTTTTAATGCTGCACGGAATTCCATATATACATGTATATGTATACATGCTTATGTATGTGTGTGTGTATGTATTTTTTCTTTCTCTAAATGGGCTCATGCTGTAGACACTATTTTGTCGCCACCCCAGGTGCAGAGCAGAGCCCAGGAGTCCCATTTTGGGAATGCTGCCTATGTGATGCAGTGACATGTCCCAAGAGACAGGAAACCTGTTGGGCTATTTTTCATACTTTGCCTAAAGTTTTCTTTATAAGTGTTAAGTGACCTCCAGCCCCTTATTCTGTTTTCTCCTCTTTCCTTCATTTCGCCACTCTATTCCTTTTCTGTCCTTCCTTCTGCACTTCTGTTCTTCATATCTGCCTTTTTCCCTGTGTCCCTTGGAGCACAGCAGAGAGAGGAGGTTCTCATTTATGCTGAGCTTCATTTTGTCTAGCTGCTCTCAAACCCCTTTTATTTTAAGGGGATGAGGATGATGCTTAAGTCAGAGGACAAATCTCCAGCTTAGTGTGGCACTTGCTGGAAGGAGGGGTTTGGTGTGTGGGGTGGGGTGGGGGTGAACCTTCCTTCCACCAGCAGTGTCTGCCCAGAGGGTCAGCTTGGTTTTCTTTATCTATCACCTTCCTATTTTCTTGGATTGTATTCCCCTCAGTATATTACATTCATTCATGAAGTCATTCAATCAATCAATCAATCAATCAGCCAGCCAATATTTGAGCTTCTCTATTGTATCCCAGGCCTTACGCTACTCTTTAGGTAAATAAAACTGACAGTTTCTTCCTTTACGAAGCCTATGGGTTAGTTGGGGAGGGGAGTGGGAGGAGAAAGATAGTAACCAAAAATTCACAAATATATGTACAGGAATATAATTTGCATTGTGTTAAGTGCCCTGAATGGAAAAACCAGGAGAAACCTAACTTCGATTAAGGGCAGGTGTCAGGGCCAGCCTCTCTCAGGAATGAGCCTAGAGACTGGATCTGAAGGGGGAGTAGAGGCTGGCCAACTGGGGAGGGGTTGGAGGAAGAGGAGTCCAGGCGGGGAGACCTGAGGTCAGGCTGAGCGTGGCACTTCACAGAGATTGAAATTGGCCAGTGAAGCTGGAGCTCGGCAAGTTGGAGGAGAGTGACAGGAGGTTGGGAGGTGGTCTGGCATCGTGTCATGCCATGGATTTATTCTAAGTACTGTGGGAAGCCATTAAAAGGTCTTGGGCAGTGAAGCGACACAGTCCCTTTGACGTTTTGAAAAGATCACTCTGGCTGTTGCAGGAAGTCAAGAGTGGAGGCAGCGAAACCAGGTGGGCGGCCACTGCAGGAGTCCCAGCAAGAAATGAAAATGACTTGGATGAGGGTAGTGGTAGTGGGGAGGGAGAGAATCAGATAGGCTTAAGATGTAGATTCTGGAGCCAGCCCTGATGGCCTAGTGGTTAAAGTTCGATGTGCTCTACTTCACTGCCCCGAGTTCGGTTCCTATGCGTGGAGCCATGCTGCTCATCTGTCAGTAGCCATGCTGTGGCGGCCCACATAGAAGAACCAGAAGGACTTACAACTAGAATATGCAGCCATGTACTGGGGCTTCGGGGGGGACAAAAAAAGAGAGAAAGGTTGGCAACAGATGTTAACTCAGGGTGAATCTTTCCCAGAAAAAAAAAGATGTAGATTCTAGTCCACAATTCTCATCAGGCAAGTTGGAACAGTTCCTGGAGGATACGTAGGCCAGGCAGGATGCTGGTGAGGGTGTGGCCACAGGGGACTTGCATTGCTCAGTTGCTGTTCTGAAAAAGAAAGGGAAAAGTGGGAAATAGAAAGGGGAAATCGGCCTTCCCATCCATTGGTTTCTCCCCTGGGTGAAGGGGACTAGGGCTGTCGATGAGCTGCCTTTCGAGATCTGCTGCCTCTGCACAGCCAGGGCAGCTGTGCTCAGACTTGCAGGAGGAGGCTGGAGGAGGAAGGAGCAGCGAGTGCTAATGAGGCTGCCCTTCACTGAGTGCTTAGTAGGGCCAGTCATGGACCCAGCTTTATACTCTTGTCGCCTTGAATCTGTGTCCCTGCCCTTGGGGGGTGGGTACTACAATTGCTCCATTTTACAGATAAGGAGACTAAGACTGTATGATGTGGAGTACCTTGCTCAAGGTGACACAGGTAACTCTGTCTGATTCCAGAGCCAGTGTTCTTAACCACGATGCTCTTCCGGCAAAACCTTGAAATGGAGGTGGAGGGGATCAGCGTTCAGGGAGGATAAAGTTTAATTTTTTAAATTATTTTTTGCGTGCATTCCAACTACTTGTACTTCTCATTCCCTTGGTCTTTCATCTATCTCCTGTGTATTGAGAGACTTTGGGCTGTCTCTCCCCAAAGTACTGGTGTAGTAGAGCTCAGGCCTGGAGGAAATCGTTTCCTCTGAATCACAAAGGGAAAGGCTGTCCAGTGGGTGGAGTGGATTTTAGCTGGGGCTTTGACAAAGGAGATACAATTCTTACTGTTGCTTTCGGGAGATCTGAGAGACAAACAGAATTAGCACCAAATTTGGAAGCCGATTCTCTTCTCAGAGATATAGTTACTGCCAAGAAAGAGACCTCCCGACTTTGGTGAAAGACTCCCTATGCAGGAATATATTTCTGGGTCCTGAAAATGGAGTTCAATGTTTGGTTCTCTCCAGCAGCTCTCTAAATTTAGGCTCTATGATTCACTAAGTCAAATGTGTGTGTGTGTGCATGCCTGTGTAAGAGAGAGGGAGAAAAGTGCATATATTACTTGTGGTGCATGGTAACGTATAACCCTGGGATAATTTCCTCACCTCCTTAACTGATCAAATATGTGCTTTTATAGTGTGCCCCTGGGTGTAGACTGGCCAGCGGACACATTTCTTATTTGCAAACAAGTCTCAGATGGATAGTTTTCCATTGATCCTGGGTAATTTTCAAAAACCCTAATTTTTACCGATTAGAAGCTTCTCAGTTAAAAAAACACCCTGAGAGCCTTAAGGTCACAGCTGGGCTCAGATTTTGATAGTGGATGCTTTTCTTGTCCACGGCTGGTTTTTCTCTGACGTAATAAAGAGCATCCACTGTCCGGGCTGTGCTGGGCTTTGGATCAGTTTTCTATGATGCTTTCAGAAAGTTTAACAGTGCACAGTGCAGGGCACAAAAGCCAAAACACATGTGGCTGTCCACTTCCTTGTATCTTGCCTCTTTGTCTTAACAAACAGTTATAGCTTTAGGATTTTGGAAAGGCTGTGGTTGAAGAAAATGTCTCCCATGAAAGAGAAAGAAGAAAAAGGAATCCATTTAATGCAAAATGACTAGAGGGGGAGAAATCACTCATACCTCATTATTGACGCGTTCCACACAATTAGTGTGATCTTGAGGGAAGAACGTTTGAGCCACCCACAACCCTGAATATTCTCATTGGGTAGAGGTAATAATAATGCGTTTCACAGTGAACTCTTCCCATATCGCGGGCAGTGATGGGGAGACCCCATCTCAGGGCTGTCAGTCGTGGCTCGTGGCCCGGGAGAGTCCCTCTCCCTCCCTCCTTTGTGCAGGGAGAGGTTAAGCCTGGCCATTAACCCATAGGTGACCCAAATAGAATTTTCTGTCCCAGGGATCCGTTGATTGCCAGGTATGGCTTTGTGGTAATTCTAGCATTTGCAACCCAGCAATTTGAACCTTCTGTCTGCCTAAATGATGATTTTACATTGTAATGGTTGTACTAAATCCTTTCGCTTTTGCTCCATAGCCGCTGTTGTGACAAGAAAAGCTGTGGCAACCGAAATGAGACTCCCTCAGATCCAGTGATAATTGACAGGTAGGGACCACTCTGCTTTCACTGGGTTCTTATTCCTCATTATAATGAAACACCTGCCTTGTGTCGCTCATGGGCGAGGGTTAGGAATGCATGTGGCCGAAATTTGCCTGTTGGTCATGACTTAAGCTGTGCCGAGCTATTGCGATTCCTGGGAAAGCCATATGGAATGTTCTTTGGAGGCCTGTTTTCTTGGATTGCTCTGGTTTTGTGTCTGATTCATGCTCCTAAAGGAATATTTTTTTCTTTCCTGACTTTCTATGGCTCAATCCTCACGCTGTGCCAGGAAGCTTCAGAAATAAAATAATAATAGTTTGTGATTTATGAAATGTGGTGGGGTGCTTATAAATATTTAACTTTTATTTGAAAAATGTTTGAATCATTATCACTTTTAGCTACAGTAGTTCTGTTGGACATAATCCATCTACATTTTAAGGTTTTATTTATGCATAAAAGCAGTTTTAAAGAGATCTGTGAACCAAGATTTTCTACTCTTATTTCCCGGGTTTGATTGCAGTTCATATTGTATTGTAAGTTGATTAATTTATCCTGCTTGTCTTAATTATTGTGTTTTTAAACAGATCCATATTACTAATCTGACATGACCAAGTAAATCACTGTAGAACAATAAATCTGTTTTAGTTGTTCGGTGCAATTTCGAGTCAGTGTGTGCACATATTATGCAAAGTCGCATTCCAAATATTCATTTTACATTTTAATTATTGAAATTCATTGTATGGAAACATGTATGATAAACCATTTGTTACATAGCATTACTCATTGAGAGTTAAATGGCCTGGAAGGTTTATAGATAATGTCAGTTGTCAGCTAGGAAAAGAGCTAGCATCCTCCACCAGCCGGAACAGAGTCTTGCAAATAAGACTGACTGATCCCTCACTGAGGCAATGGAGCTGGACTCGAGTCCCTTTTGGGTTTGGTAATTTTGATTTTTGACAGTCCCCCTCCCCCACCTATCTGTTTTTCTAATTCTTTGCCTTTTGGGGGCTTGCTTTATCATTTTTCAGTTAACTGGAAAAATGTTGGCTTCATCATAATTGATGTCCAAATATTGATTGTTGCTTTTGGCTTATGTGATTCTCCAGGCTTAAACCCAATTTTGCTTGCCAAGTAGCTTTATAAAGTTTCCGTTTCAGTCAGATATTTTAATTAACTATCTAATAGTCACTAAAACCATACACTTTTGCTTGATAAATAAGTATTAATATCCTTGATTCACAGTTAACACATGTGAGCATTTAACGGGTAGTGGGGTTGTCTGTCGCCTATAGAATTAGAATAAGGTGTTTATCTGCTAGAGCAGACGTGCCATTCAGGTAATTTCTTTTTCTGCCTTGGAAGATACATCTGCAAAGGAATAAGGTAAAAAATAAATATAACCTTATGCTGTTTGTTGCATTTAAATACACTTCCTCAAAATTCCGTTTGTTATTTTAAGCAAGTTTTTCTCACTCTTCTATCAAAAAGAAAGGGTTCTAATCAAAGGACCAGCTCAAATATTCCCCCAAACTTTGGAGCCATCAGCATTTTGTTCTGGCCACACAGTTCCTTTGGGTTTAGATGATGACAAGAACCTTACCTTGCCACCCGCAGTGAAAACACTTTTTTTGGCTTGTGAATGGGTTAAGCTTTTAAGTTCCTCGTTGGGTTTTAAGCTGTGACTCTGATACAGAAGGTTGATATGACTGTGGTTTGAATAACATTTGATTTTGACCTGTTCCTGTGGGTTGCGATGGCCTACGAAACTTGACTCAGCGGCACTGTAATTAGCCGGGCCCGTGTTTTTGAAACAGGATTGTGTTACCTGGATTGCATTAGTGTGGCTTCTATTGTTGCCGCCTTGCATCTGTCCCAGTAGGGTACTTAAAACCTTTTCTTGGCTGGGGTAGTTCAAACAATTTAGGCAAAATAAGTATGCACTTTATACTGTTGGTGGCTTTAGAGATATTATTCACGACCTTTATCCTTTTCATTTTTCTCCTTTTTGGTTTGACAAAGTCGAAAACAGTGTGTAGCCAATCTTGGTCTCTTAAGAGAGGCGTCTTTTAAAAACGGCTGAAACCCAGTGTATCAGCACAAGTCCCAACATATGTTTATTTGCTGGCCGTTGCCACTGTCTCCCATGAACTCTTTTCAAGCAGTGATGCCAGCTGATATGCAAAACCCCATTTAGCTATTTTTATTTGCATCTGAGTTTTCAGAATTTATTTGTTCTTCAGTCTGCCAGAGGTTTTAAAAGCTCCAGTCCTGTCTATGCTGATATGTGAGACTTCCATTTCTAACATCGAGAGAAGAGGAAAACAACAAGAAAAGAACTCACACAAGGAAGGGCAAAATAGAAAAGATTTTTCAATTCCATAAAATTGCTGCAAAGGAAGAAAAAACGATGGCAACCGTGTTTGAATTTCATAGTTTCCAATTTGATTCTGTATTACCGATTGCATAATATCTGCGTTACGTGCTTAGGGTTTGATTTGCTTTCCAATTTATGCCTGTGAATCCCTGCATATTTTGTAAAAATGGGTTACGGGGCCTGCATTCAGTAGCAATAGTAACTGTTTTTACAAGATGCATACAATATGCAATTATGGAGCTGAGGGTACAGGCGACCATTGTGTTAGGATTTAGCATAGTTTTAACACGCAGTCACCTTTTGGGCACCAGTAATTTCTAGCTTCCTTTGCTTGTCCTTCGGATTTTGGAAGAACACTGCTATTTTTATCAGTCAAAAGACTTTTAGTAGTGGCTATTCAGGAAAACTATTTATAGGAGAGATAGAAGAGGCTTTCTGGTCATACGGCAATGGTGCAGGGTAAGCTATTTCTGTGCTAATTTTTGGCTGTATTATTTGCTGCCAGTGATTTGGGGACATGAGCATGGCATATTCTATCAAAAAAGTGGAATTAACAAAATCAGCAGTGGCATGCGGTGATGTTAAATGGGTTTCTACTTCATTCTTTTCTAATAGCATGCAACAAAATAAGAAAAATATGACCCAAATTCTTTTTACGATTGCGACAGTTTGTCAAGGCGCTTCCAAAAAGTTGGTAGGAAAATTTCTGTAAATGGAGGAAGTGGGCATCTAGAGTTGACGGCCAGGTTATATTACTCCCTGATGCCAAACAGCTTGATTAAGAATGATAAAACCCAGCCTGTGCCCAGTGATCCAGATATTTGCGCTGTGTAGACATGGGAAAAGTCAAATGTGTTATGTTTAATACCTGATGACCAGGAACTAATAACAGTAAATTTCATTATCGTTGGGGTAAAGGGCTATGTGTGGTAATTATTGTTAAAGTAAAAAGCAAAATATGACTTGCAGTTATTGAATTAAGATGGAGATTGATTTAACATATTCACACAGTAACTCCTATTTGAATTTAAAAGGTTTGCAATAAAATTCATGTTTAGAAATTGAATAAAATGTAGTTTTATTATCACATTGGATATCCTTGTGTCCTAACCTTTTTCCTTGGAGTTACCTCAGTTCAATAAATAAAACCTCATTAGACTATTCCCATTTCAACGAGTTTATTAAATTTTGCAGGAGTAATTAGCATAAGCTGTGCTAATTTTTCTGGAAGACTAATGAGGGAGGTTCTTAATTAGGTTTACTTTGTAAGAATCAGAAAAGATGATAATGACAAAAGTCACATAGGGTAGTTTGAATTGGGAACCCAGTTTTTCTGAAGCTATAAAAAAGCTTCCATTTTCTGTGTGGAAACTTCTTTAGAAATGCTTGAACTGAATATATTAAGTGTGCAGGCTGTTATTCTGTATCTAGTTAGTTAGGATTACCATCCATTCTTGATTTGCTTCACAAAACTCTTTATTTTCCTACCGTTGACTCACTAAACTGTCTTTGAGCAATGACGTGGATGAACACATATGGTCTTACGGAAACATTGCTTTCTCCAAATTGTACTATAAGATTCCTTTCACACAGAGCCCTGAGGTTTCCAGCCAGATGTGTGTCGCTTTTTTCCATCAGGGCAGGATAGAGGACAGCTCAATATTTGTTTGTTTATTTGGCTTTTCAATTTAGGATGAGTGTGTTTGATGAAGAAGTTAGACCACTAAGTAAAGGGAGACAATGAGAGCCCAGTTCTTCCTGTCCTTCTACTGTGGATCCTGAGAGATTAACAAGTGGATTTTTTCCTTTTAATAGATAGAAATAATGAAGGGTAAAATTCCTCCTCAAATTGAGTTCTCCTGTCTCGTGTGTGTTTAGACATAGTCCTTTTGAGATATAATGTGGCTCCATAACCTGCCAGTTTTGAGTTCCTCACAGCCAGTATTAAAAGCATCCATTTTTAAAGCATGTTGACTAATATACATCTAAAGATTTTGCATTTGCTTATTGTCGCTTTAATAGATTTGTCTTTCTTTTCCATTTATAAAAATTCCCGTATCTATGTTTGACATGTAAGCCTTGACATTCAACATTAAAAAAAAATGTGAATTTTGTCACATGCAAACCTAGTCTGTTTAGATTACTGTGCTTTAGGCCACACTTACCCAAGGGTCTTCTAAAAAGAAAAAAAAGCCTATATTTGTTGTCTCCAGGATTTTCTAAAGATCTTACACAGCTAGGTCTCTTTCATTTAAGTGACACCAGTTGTGTTTGTTTTATGATTATTTTCTGGAATAGAATATTCAGGAGTGAAAATATTAGAATGCTTGTTTTACCTGTTGATTTTACATGACGTGCATCATATGAACAGAAAAGCTTAACCACGTCAGGGTTGTTGAGAGAAACAGCTTTATTTAAGACCCATTCTTCATCGAAGAGATATAAATGCTGTGATAGGACTTTTCAGAAAAGTGCAGTCTCGTCTTATCACCAAGCTAATTTCTTGATTAAATCGATCCCCATGTATTTATGTAACATATATGTTCATCTGCATAATAGGGAGACAATAGTACAACTTTAGAATTAGGATATAGTTGTGCGGGTTGTTTTCTTTTTGTTTTACCATTGAGCA